TGTTGTTTACGGCACTGTCATTGCTGTCGCTAGCTAACATTAGCAACGAGGAGCCCTGTGGTGCATTCAGGTGCTCCTCGGAGTTGTGAAGTCGTTCGGTGTGTTCATGTGTTCTTAAGTCACAATCATAGACTGTATATAAAAAGGTCACAATGTGTAAACAACATGGACGGTTCTTCAAAAATATGTTGGATTGTCATCAAAGTATGTTGAAACAGTTTGAAGCTTTCTATTATAAACGGACTTTTTTTTGTCCTAGAGTTTGTTACTGCAGCCATATATTACCTGAAACTACAGTTGGGAAATAAAACAATACTGATATTATTATTGCGTTATTATTTTCCCCAATAACAATATAACAAATGTACAATAAAGGTTTGATTTAAGTCATTTTAATCATGTAAGAATGAGTACTTAATTCTTCTATTAAGATATTTAAGGAAGCTCATTTGTGCAATCAAGCTCCAAAAAGTCACAGCACCGAACTGACTATTTTTGATTATATTTCTGACATTCATATATATATATATATATATATATATATGCACAGAATGTTACCGATTCTGCTTTTACTGTATCTGTTATTTTGCATTTCTCTGTGCTGCTATGTCAACCTGAATTTTTCCTACAGGAGATTACTAAAGATATGTCTTCTCTTATCTTATTTTGTTGAGGAAAATGGACTGGAAAAAAAGACTTTACGTAATTGTTCTAATGCATATTTGTTGACTTTTTTAATGTTCTACCTCAGATCTGTTAAGTGATCCACTGTTTTTGGCATCAACTGTTTGTTCTGACCATTAAGAAAAGTTTAAAACCACAATTAACCATCTGGTTTCTTCAACTTTGAAGCAAAAGTCTGCCTTTAAACTTGAAAGAAATAATGACTTGATGATAATTATTGATATCGGATGATCTTAAATTGTCTAATTGTGATAATAATTGCCCAGCTATAAACATACAAGAACTTGCTAATAAAGGGAAACTTCTTTTAAAATTATACACACTTGTTATCGTGGTAGCCAATCGCTCACTCTGTAATATGTATCCAGAGACACTAGTACACCTATTCTGGCAACGTCCCCACTCTGGCAGAAACAGATTTGTCTCTTTCATCAATTTATGATTGGCAACATTGACTCTGAATTCTGTCTTTATTGGAAAATGTACTAATTGCTTTCCACAATAACAGTAACAAAAAGCAGAAAGTATTAGTCACTCTAAACCTTTACTTATAGTCTTTTGTAAAGGAAACTGAGCAGAGCATCAATAACATTTGATTTAAAAAATAAGAAAGCTGTGAAAACACTTAATTTGTGCTCTTTGTTTACTGCTTTTGTATTAAAACTCCCCCTCTGTTTATGTCTGTTTTGTTTATATTAATGACAACTCTTATCCGTGTTCATTGTCTTTGCTAATAAAGATTTTTGTTTTTAAATTAAATTCTCTCACTTTCCGAGTTGCTGTTCTGACCTCAGGGGGCGTTCACGTCAATTTTCCAAGCGGGGAGGTCATTTATTTCCGATTATTCCGACACCACATGAACGCACAGTTACCGTTGTAACTTACCACCGTACTCAAACCGAAACAACCCGTTTAAAACATTTCCGTCGAGGATCAACCATCAACGACAACTCTGTGTTGTTAACGACAGAGACGTTACTGTTAAACGAACACATCCCACGCTGAAATCAACTTACCTTGACAGCTAAACCGCCGTTTTAGCTCGCTCGCTGCGGGTTTGTTGTCCTCTTCGCTCCGCCGCGCTCACGCCATCTTTTTTTTTTTATGAAACGCTCCGCCGCATGCTGGTCACGTGACGTGCAGGCCTACAGCGGGCGTTTTCGCAGTCAAACTTCTCCCCCGGCGTCGATAAAAACGGGGTTTGGAACAGCCGCAGGACGCCCTTCGACGACAATACACCGATAAAAGCGAGGGATGAAGCATTTTTTTAAAGGTTAGCACAAACGACAAAACATAGCAGAGTCAGCGAGCTAATGCAGCGTCACGTGATCTCGCGAGGTCTTGGTAGGAAGTGACGAAGAAAGATTTTTTTTCTTCTTCTTCGTTGTCCTCTTTCTTCCTCTTCCTCAGTTTTCTCTGCTTATCTCATAAATAAAACACTCGGCATGTAAATCTTCTACCAGACCAACACGTTTTAATACACTTTAATATTAATATTATATCAGATGTGAGGCCACTCTGAATTAAAAGATGTGAACAGAGGATGCAAAGCAGTTTACCAATACCTTTATTTTAAGTGTTTTATCAACAGAATATTACCCCAATCAGCTGAAAATAAATATGTGCTACATTAATATAAAGACAAAGAGACATGAAAAAAAAATCAATCATATCAATTATACCCAAAGCCAGAGAGGTGAGATGTAAGTGGTGTTATAACACATGTGGAGAAAGACAGTATTAAGGATTAAAAGGATTTCTGTTTGTTTGTCAGAGACAGTTTTAATCTATGTGTAGTGTATAATGCTGCACCAACTGAACAGAAACGTTTGGATTTTTTTTATTGACATTTTATTGTTAGATCTAAATACAACAAAACAAATGAAATAATGAACAATGTATGAAGAACACAAATGCCAGAAAACCTCTTTCTGGACTTAGGTCTTGATTAGGAAGGACTGAATTCAAGGATGAGCATGAACGTTTATAATTTTTGCCTGTTTATTTGTTATTTTGTCTTGTTTTGTTCTGAACATGTTATGGAAATCTAGTATTCATGAAGTGTTTTAAACATTTGTACTTTAATTTGGCATAATAAAGTGGGGAAACACTTTATCTGTGCTACAATGGATGTAAGGATGGTGTCATCATGAAAACAAACCTGGGCATTGCAAGTTTTTTCTGTCTGTCAAAGGAAACTGAGTAACATGGTTCCTTGAATGGATATGAATGTACCTAGTGAGTAAACAACACTTTACAACCACAGATTCTGGATAAAACTGAGGTTCCATTACAGTTTCAAAGCTGATTTATACTTTTGGGTTTGTTGGCTTGCTGGGAAATAACTCTCAAGTTGCAGTTATCTTGCTGATTGCAGCAGATTTCTCTGTATTTTTTCGGCATTGATGTTATTTATGATTTTTATGTTTTATTATGTTGTTACCTCTATACCTGACGAGCCTTCCAGAGCCTCCTACGGCAGAAACATCCCCCAAACCACCATGCTGATGTTCGGTGCGATAATGTTTAGTGTGAAGCCTCAAAAAGTTTAACTGTTATGTCCTCAAACTTTATACTATACTTTGCTTCAGAGTATTCTACACACCATCTGGCAAATACCAGTCCAGAAGTGATGTGAGTTTTTTTTAAACACTGAAGCAAGTAATTTGTGTGAGAGAGAGTATGCTTGTGTTTGACTTTTTATTTAAACCTGAAAAATTTAACAGTTAACTGGAGAATAATTTTTGCTATATAGTGTTTTGAATTGACTTTACACTATTACACCTTAAACTTCTGAAACGTGATCAGAATCAGCTTTACTGGTCAAATATGCGAACACATACAAGGAATTTGACTGCAGTTTTAAGTTTACACTTACATTTACTCATTTGGCAGACACTTTTATCCAAAGGGACTTACGGGAACAACTTTTGAGGAACAACATACAAGCATCAATAAAGTAAGAGATTTGCAAGTGATAATAGATACAAGTAAGAGCAGCAATAACTAGTAAGAGCTAGTAGTATGTAACGGCATCAAACGGGTAAACACCTTGGGAAAGAAGTAGGAGAAGAAGAGCACAGGAAGTTCATGTTAGAGATTTTAGGTGTTATAAGAGTGTTCTCAGAAGAGAAGAGTTTTGAAGTTGCTCTCACTGTTACACAGAACAATTTACAGGAAGATATAAATAGACATACAGCAAAGAACAAGGACAACAAAGCTGAACAAAGAGACAATCAGAGATGTTGGCGAAAGTAATTGTTATATAAATATATAGCAACAATGACCAACAACAAACAATGTCTAAATACAAGACATAATAAATTACGATATACGTGAAGAGGGTGGTAATGTATAACAGTATATGCATGTGTATAGATTATACAGCTTGCAGGATTTATATTTGACAATGGTGGAATGTATATATTTTAAATTTATAATTTGTAAGGTGGACAATGCATTATGAATTGGGAGTTGACAACAGTAAGTAACATAAGTTTATTAAGTAAATGTACTGAACTACATATTTGAGTAAATGTACTTTACTTGAGTCTTTTCTTCTCAAACCACTTTATACTTCTACTCCAGTACAATTAAAAGGGGGAATATTGTACCAATTACTTGACAGCTTTGGTTTCTTTACAAATTAAGATTTTTGCACACAAAAACGTGCAAGTACAGCTGAGACAATTATTTGATTAATCATTTAAATATTGTCATTAGATTTTAAATAATTGGGATTATTTGCTGGACAAAACAAGCATTCATTGTGAAGGTCTTAGTTTGGCCTCTGGGTGATCGTCACGGCATTTCTCTCAGTTTTACAAATCAAATAATAAATTGGTTAATGAAGAAATTAATCAGCAGATTATTTCATGATGAAAATAATCATTTGCTGCACTCCAATACAAAACTGTTTAAAATGAGCTCCACCACAACATCTACAACAGTAAAATCCTGCTTTTACATGAATGCATAAGTAATAATAATGCAATGATATAATATATAATAGCATAACAGTGACAGGCGACATTTTGATGCACTGAGTACCTTTTCTTTTAATACTTTAACTACATTTTCCTGATCAAATTTAACATGTTGTGTAACTCAAGTAGTATTTTCAATGCAGTATTTTCTGAATACTTCCTCCACCTCTGTTTTAGAGTTACTGTACAGGAGGGGGAGGTTAAAAACCATAAAACATACTTCCTCCTCCATAAAACTCCACAGAGGAAGAAGAAGAAGACGTATTTCCGGTGTCGGCCTGCAGGGGGCGACGTTGTTTCGCTTCTTCTCCTTCGTTTACATGTCAAAAAATAAAACATGGCGGACAGGAGCAGTGAAGGCTGCATCGGTTGAGCTGCTGGCAGTTTAAACACCACAAAAGGGCCACACAGCCGCCGTGGAAGGGCCCGGCGTGTAGGGAGGGCAGTGCCGTGTGAGCAAGGGGAGGTTTGTCTCCGAGCTGGAAGAAAACTTTCATTTATTTTTTTGTTTTCCTGGAAAAGAGATCCCGAGCGAGCTGAAACAAGTCGGACATGAACGGGGTAAGTTTGGTTGTTAAGAGAGAGCATCACCAAACACAGGTTAAGGAGCGTGAACGAAAGGTGGCCTACGTGGTTTATCACTCTCTTTGACAATGACACTCGTGTGTGCGTTTTAAAGTTAATAAGATAAGTCTCCGGTGTGTTTGAGTGTAAATTAGAGAAGTTACAGCAGGCTTTTTGTTTGAGGGCGCTTTGCTAACGCGTAGCTTCATGGCCTGCTAGCCGAGGACATGACAGTATTTCTGACAGACTGAAAACAAACACACGGATTCATCTTCTGAGTTTGTTTTTATAGATTTCACAGCATGTTAGTTTGAGTAGATTTAAAAAGAAGATAAAGAGTCGAGAGGCCTGTATGTGCCTTGACTCTGAATTTAAAGGGACTGAAGGGGGAGTTGATGTGGGTGTGGAGCCAGCATGGTGCCCTCCTCAGGGGCCCCACCCACACTACTGATGGAAACTACAGTTATTTGTCCAGTACTGTACTTGTGTGTAGCTTCAAGGTACTTTACAGTTCGACTTTACTACATTTCAGAGTGAAATATTGTAAAATTTATTTGACAGCACCAAACTGAGAGACTATTCCTGATTTCATTTAAGTTCAGACATTTATCTGGTTGTAAATAATTATTATTGATTGTATGTGTAAATAGTGTGCTGATACTTCTTTAATACTGCATCTGTTCTTTTATATTCCTTTGTGTTGCTAAGGCGGCTGAAATGAATAGTCATATCTTATCTTACTTTTCAGATTAAGATTTTACATTTAAAAATGCCAGTGGTTTCCCCGTGTTGTTTGACTTGTGGCCCCTTACAAAGAGTTGTAAGCAGTTATACCAAAGAGTGATTCCCCATTCAGATGGTTTAATTTAAGTAACTGCTACTTTGACTTTTATAACTTGCATCTGTCTATTCCATACTTAGCCTATATATTTTTAAATCTATTTATGTTAACTGTATGTTTATGTCTAAGTCTAGTACGTAATCACCACAGCGAATTCCTCGTATGTGTAAAATACTACTTGGCAATAAAGGTCTTTTTAATTCTGATTTATCTTGTGATCATTTTGAGAGCTGCACCCCTCAGGTTTGGAACCACTAGACTAAACTAGCTAACTGTATAGTTAAAACAGTTAAAACTAGCTCCACCGTGAGCTGCTATAGCAGTAAAATGCTGTGTACACACTGATTCAGCAGTTCAAGTGACAGGGGCCATTTTTCTGCATAACGAGTACTCTTTATAGTTGAAGTTCATTTTGATGAATGAAATATAACTGACCCATTAAGGCCACAGGTTTGCGCTGTCAGGGTTGTATCAAACTATAGATGTGTGTGTGTTTTTATCGGCGTCATTTAGAGCCCATTTCTGGTTTCAGACAACGCATAATAAATGAGGAAACATGCACGTTTTTATTTACTCTCTGAAGGCAATAACTGTTTTGTTTCAGTGGGAATAAGCCTTCTGACTAAAGGCGCTGTCTAAAAAACACCTTACAGGATGTCCTGTGGAGTTTTATTATAAACAAATACAGTTTCTGTTGACAGTCACTACTTAACCTAAACATCTTGAGGTCTAGTTGAATGCCTGTCCTCTCTCATTTGTAAAGCCAATTGTTTTAAATATTATGAAACTTGGGTCCGCCTCTAATGGATTTGTGTCTATAAGATCGAGAGCTGAAACAACTGTGTTTATGTAATTAATCGACAACCATTTAGATTAATAATTTCAGTCATTTTTGAAGCAAATTTGCCAAAAATTGAGAATTCGCTGATTTTCTTTGTCATATACGACAGAAAGGTGAATATCTTTGAGTTTTATTTTACCACTAAAGGCCCCTCGTCTCTGTTGACAGAGAATCTAATGTTTGTTTTTTTGGTCCATAAATGCATACAAAAACACTGACCGGTCATTTTTTTACCAAATATAGTTGGTTCAATATGACATCTACAAATGAATAAACCTGAATACAGAACGTAGTAATTCAGAACACGCTGACATGGTGATGTATGATGTGTGTCCATATCGGCCGTCTCTATCAGGCAGTTTTTACAGGATTGGTCTAGAGTGGCTTCTGGGTTTCCACTTTGTTTTAATCAGCCTTTAATACATTTTCTCTCTGCATTCACAGGAGATTGTGTGCAATAGCCACTCAGTCACCGTCCTAAGCTCCAACAAGTCCATATCGTCATTTAACGATGAGAAGATGATCAAGCGGACACAGGAGGGAATGTGCTCTCCAAAATGCTACAAGCTCTTTGATGCTCAGAGGCAGGGAGAGGGTAAGTATATTTACTGCAGCTCTGCAGTTTCTTTCTTCTTCGTTGGTGTAGGCTACTACAAACAGTGGTGAGTGAAAAAGAGCAAATCATGTTTGAGGTGGAGCTGATCGATGCTGCAGCAACAGCAGTTGCTTTCATTGAAATTACTAAAATGCAGAAACGAGATAAGGCGGCGTAGGAGATGGTGTGTACGACTCTTGAACCAGTTGATGCAGAAGAAGGAGGACAAGCCAGAAATGCGTAGGAGGAAACGCGATGATACCAAGCCGACCTATCACAGATCTTGAGGCCTGTGTCGCCGTAATGTGTAGTTACATTTTTGGGAAGGGGTACGGTGCAGAAGAATAAATTAGCTTTAAACGGGAAAACAAATGGACCATTATTTATTTATGTTTGTCAGTAGATTCAGTAAAGGCAGGCAGTGAGAAACACAAAAATATACTGAACCACCCGGCATAAAGTACTTGTTTTTTTTATTCTCCCTTTCTTCTCAGGCTGGAGACGAAATACCGTCAGCACAAATACTGCAGACTCAAAGACAGAGATGGAGAGCAGCTACAGCCAGTGTTCACCCTGCTGGCCAGATGAACAGCTCCTCTGCACTCAGACCTGCCTGCTTTCGCCTACCGATCGCTCCCTGCCTCGCAGCCCCGGCTTATCTCACGCTCCCCTCCACGCCAACAACAGCCACCAGAGGCGAGCAGTCCGCCCCAAGGTCAAAGGGAAGAAATCCACTCTAAGAATGTATGTGCATCCTCATTATAGAAATCTTATAACATAATGCTGCGGTACTATTCAAATAGTTTTAAAAGCTGTTGTTGTTGTATTCTCTTTTTCCGCTACAGCACAGGGGGAGGGAACTCCCAAAACCGAAAAGTTACTGACTACTATCCAATAAGACGAAGCTCGAGAAAAAGTATAACCGAGCTAAAGGTAAGATGAGATTACTTCTTTTAAAATACTCGCTTATGTTTTATATTCAAGCTCTAAACAACAGCAGATGTTTGTGAATCGAGGGAGTACTGGACCCTGTGTTACAGCGAGTAATCCTATTAGTAAGGGAGTGCTGCATTATGGGTCTTTCGTAGCTTTAACGTTCATAGGCTAGAAAGTAGGGTTGGGAAATGCCCATCAAATTGGCATCAGACAGTGGTTCACATCTTAATCTTATTTTAATCTTACTTTTGGACTACTAGTTCCAAACTTTCACAACTAATCTAATAAAGAGTTTATCATTTTCAAACTAAAAACAGATGTTGGAAAAGTTACTTTATCTAGTTGTCATTTTATTTGAGTTAGCATTGTCTCAGGTTGCTAAACAGAAGGCCCTGATCCTGCTTGTGTGAAAGTTATTGTTTTTATTTTAGATGTTTTGGATGTGTGTGTGAGCGAGAGAGAGAGACAGAAATCCAATCTGCTCTTGCGCTAGTATTTTTCAGTAATAGCATCTCATGTTTCTTCTCAGTGTGAAGAAAAGAAGCACATAGACGAGCTCATCACAAACGGAATAGAGGAGGGGATGGAGGTAAATATTGAGATTTCTGCTTCCATCTCTAACATCTGAAGGGCAAGACACACCTGCGGCTTCGGCTGTGGATTCAAAAACCTGCAATCATTGCTTTGCCATTTAAACCCACACACGGGTGAATCCGGGTTTGATCTATATACGTCAGAGGTCGCACGCCTCTGGAGAAGCTAGGGGTTAAGTGTCTTGTTCAGGGAGACAGTGGCGGATGTGTCACAGTGGGGGATTGAACCCGGGTCTCTCACACCAAAGGCGTGTGTCCACTGCGCTATCACCACCCCCGTTAATACGATAGATAGATGGCAGGTGCATTGCCGAGGATCCGAGGGAGTGCAGTGTTGAATTTGGCCATATGGTGGCGCTATAACAACAAACTTTACGTTTTGGCCTGTAACTTGTGAACACTGTCTCAGAAACAAAACTTTGTAGCTTCAGATAAATCTATCCATATAAGCCACGCCCATTTTCATCTACATTGTTTTTGAATTTGAAGCAATCGGCCTGTTTCGAACGGGCACTGCAGTAGTTCCAAAGTATCTGCACTTCGGTCGAGATACAGTTTGTGCCTTTAAACCCATTATACACATGCATCTCAGAAAATTTGAATATCGTGGAAAAGTAAATTTTTCCCCTGTAATTTAAGTCAAAAAGTGAAACTTTCATATATTGTAGATTTATTACACATGAAATATTTTCAGACCTTTTTTTGTTTAAATTGTTTTTATTACAGTTTACACCTCCATGAAATCAATAAAACATATCTGGAAAACATCACTGTCTGAGCCTGAAGAAGCAATGGGCGAAACGCGTTGCTCACAATAAATGCAGTGAAGTCAGATCAGTGTGCAATAGTTTGTCAGGTAGTTTTCATCCTGCTATCTACCAGCACCTGATTGTTGTTGCTGTGTGCGGGGAATTTCTTGTTGTATTGCCCGTATCTGAAATATTAGAACAAAGAATTTGTAATACAGAAATGTGAACCTACTGAAAAGTTTTGAAAAAGATTAATTTATGCACTTAGCACTTGGTTGGATCTTCTTTAGCATGAATTACTGTATCCCAGATTGCTTCGAGAGCGGCCTCACTCGCCTCTTTCCCCAGAGAGACCAGACTCTCTATGGGGTTCAGGTCAGGCACCATGGTCAGCAATCAGTTACTAGTGGTTTTGGCTCTGTGGCAGGTGCCAAGTCCTGCTGGAAAAGGAAATCAGCATCTCCATAAAGCTAAAGTAGGCAGGTTATAAGGGAATAACACAACTTGAATTAGCTTCCTCATGAGGCTGCGCTCATCACTGTTGCTTGTACACCTTTTCCTACCACCCTTCCAGTCAACTTTCCATGAATATGCTTTGATCCAGCTCTCTGTGAACAGCCAGCTCTTTCAGCAATGGCCTTCTGTGGCTTACTCTCCTTGTGGACGGTGCAATGAGTGTCTTCTGGACAACTGTCAAGTCAAACGTCTTCTCCGTGAATGCGGTTGCGTGTACCGAACCAGACTGAGAGATTAAAAGCTCTTCTCAGGTTGACATTTCTGTATTATACATTCTTTATTCTAATATTTTGATATATGGATTTTTGATTTTTTTGATGAGCTGTAAGCCGTAATCATCAAGATTAAAACAACAAAAAAAGACTATAATATATAATATTTCACTTTATTTTCCACGATATTCTAATGTTCTGAGATCAACCTCTATCCACAGTGTATGTGTAAAATCCTTAATATCCTCAGTAGCAATTAACATGTGAAATTAACAGACATTGTAGGAAATTTATTATAAATGAAATAATAAGAATTTGAGCCAAAAAGAAACCAAAATTGGAAACAGCAGAAGCGGGAAAGAAATTCTGTTCTTGACAGACGTGGTACATCAGAGAAAACATAAGGAAACAAGTACAGTCAATGAAGATGCATAGAAAATTATCACAAACCAAAATCAACACCAGCTTTTATTCGTGTCACCGCTAGTTGAGGTGTGTAACATCCCATCAAAAGTTAAACAGGCTTAAACCTCCCTGTTCTGCATAAACATATTGGTTAAGTTCTTTTTTTCTAGCCCTGTGTCATGATGGAAACCTCTCACACTGTTTTGTAGGTGCAGCATATAGAAGGAAAGGGAAGAGCAGTGTTTGCCACTCGGTGTTTCCAGAAGGGCGAGTATGTAGTGGAGTACTACGGAGACCTGCTGCAGATCACTGATGCCAAAAAGAGGGAGGCCGAATATGCTCAAAACCCTGCCACTGGCTGCTACATGTACTACTTCCAGTACCTCTGCAAAACCTACTGGTATGATGGACCAATTAATTTCCACTTTGCCACAACATTTAAACATTCTGCCAGGGTATTATTATTATTATTATACAACATACTGTAGCCACCCTGTGTTTTGCCAGTCAGATGCTTTTAATGTGGAAAAAAAACTGTGGTAAAGTAGTCGGATCTTTTACTTAAGTAAAGTTAAGCGATACCAGAGTGCATAAATATTCTGTAAAAGTAAAAGTGCATTCAAAATTACACTTAAACGTAATCATACTAACGTAAAAGTACTAAAGCATTAACATCAAAATATACTTCGTACCAAGTACTCAATATGCAGAATGGTCCATTTCTGAACAAGATATATTGTATTGCTGGATTATAATTGGTGAAGCATTAATGTGTTTATTACTTTAATGCTGATGCTGTTAAAGGTGGTGGTCATTTGAATTACTTTATATATGGCTGAGTAGCTTAACCATAATTTATTTGTTCATTTTATTTTAGTAAACCCTTGAGTAAAGGTACTTCCACTAGTGGCGGAAAGTAACTGATTAGGACGTTGAATAAAAAATGCAGATCATAAATCTAAAATGGTGTTCAGGTAAAGGTTGTAACTTTAAAGTTTCATCTCGTGAAGAAGAAGAAGATGATTTCATGTCCTTTTGAATGAATTATTACAATCTGTAGAAAGTTTTATAGTATGAAGACTGATGTTTTTGTTGTTTGTTTCAACAGCGTGGACGCCACAAAAGAGTCTGATCGAATGGGTAGGTTGATAAATCACAGCAAAAATGGAAACTGCCAAACCAAACTCCACGACATCAACGGTGTCCCTCACCTCATCCTCGTTGCCTCTCGAAACATTGACAAGGGTGAGGAGTTGCTGTATGATTATGGAGATCGCAGTAAAGCCTCCATCGCGGCTCACCCGTGGCTCAAATATTGATTGAGGGAAAAGGGAAACGTACAGTAACACTTGTGTTTCTCATTAGCTAGTGTACAAAATGCCTTAGAAGCAGAATGTGTACCCTTTTTGTTCCAAAACCGAGGAGACTGGATGGGGTTCATGTGTTTTTGGGGGGGCATTTTGAGGTCAATCTGCCTTGTCAGATGACATCTGTAATTTTTATTTATGTGTATATGAAACATTCTGGTTGTTTTGCAGCACATTTATTTTGTACATTTTGTATTACTTATAGACCAATGCTTCTACAGCATGCAGGTGGTAGTTAATGCTCTGCATTTTTATACGCCTTTTTCTTAATTAGTAGTTAGCAATACTTATATTTATGGCCCCAGAGCCCTTTTTGGATCAGCAGGAACTATGAGATGCAAATTACAAACACACAAAAAAAAAAAAGTCTGTTCTTGATTTGAATTTGATTTCAACTCTCACAATCTACCGTCGCTCAGTGGAAGTGTAATAGTTTATCAAACTCCTGGTAAGCTGGTATTTCTGGATCTTGAAAAAAATTTAGTATTTAACTTTTTGAAGTATAAAATAACAGTAGGATTACATAGGAATAAAGAAATTGGTCAAATGAATACTTTTCCTCTGTTTTCAAGCCTTTTACTTTTAGACAATATTGTATTTTTTAATATTTAAGATGCACAATACATTTGAATCATGTAGTCAGTGTTCAAATAATTCAAATGTGTTCTGCAAATCCCTACACTATATCCTGTCTGTTTAAACACAAATGTTTATGAAAGTTAGGTAGGTAAATATAAAAAATATAAAAACATACATTCTTCAGCTCACGACACTGTCTATCTAACTGCACTGTGTAAATATATTTATTTGCTGTTGCAAATCAAAGGGTGGTTTAAAGGAACAGTTTGACATTTTGGGAAATGAGTTTTTTTCACTTTCTTATAAAGAGTTCAATGATTTCACTCCTGTGTCTCTACATTGTATATCAGAGCTAACCCGACACGCAAAATCATCATCAAAGTAGACTAATTTGTTTTATTTCCATTTTCCGATTTTTTGACCGTTAACAATTAACCTTAAATTCAGCGTAACACACTTTTAACACCATTAGTTTGCCCTATTGTGCTGCTGATTGTAGCCCATTAGAGCCTCCTTGTCATGTTCTGAGTGACGGAAAAATCCAAACCCTCTTCACTTTTATTGGTAGTTAAAAACAAAATCACAGGAAACAGAATTGACATTTAATGTAAAAAGTCTAAACTTTAACTGAACAGATGTAAACCTTTACAAGGCTTTCATCACAAAGCTATGACCAAACAATCATTTGAATTGGCAAATTGTGTCGTCATGTGTCACTGGCTTTGTCTGAAGGGAACAAAATCTTCCTACCAGTACTTCACTAATTAACATGTTTGTTTTAATCTATACATAAACAAAGTGGGAAAGACAAGATATGGGAAGCTCTTCCTTTAAAAAACAACAACAAACAAAACGGGTTAAAGCATAAACCAAATTACTGACAGAAAAGTCTTGCATTTGTCACATACACTTTGTTTATGCACACAAAGTGGCCTCTCCCAACACGTCCACGTCTTTGGTGAACTGTTACACTCCTACTGTATATTGTAGATCTTTGCAGGTTTTCAACACATCTGTTCTTCCCGCTCACAAAACTGTTTTATTGTTCTCAACCGGATGTTCCCTGGGAAAGTATTTAACAGCTTGAACCGCCAACAGGTCATTTCCTACTTAATATTTTAGTGGCTTTTTTTTTTTTTTTTTAATTGTCAGATCTTATTTATCTTAATTTGTGTTGGATTTATTGCTGAGAAACAAATTATATTTCTTTTAACTAATTGGTAGGACATTTCAGCTTCTGCGCATTACGATACAGATGACATAAAACACAGTGGCAGTATTTTAGATTCAATAGTCACGTTCTTTTGGTCAAATCACTGACTACAAATTAATGCACCACAGAAAAATACACATGCAGTGCAGCGGTTGTGGTTTTGAACACTGCTGGATAACACAGTGGGGCAGGTTACTCCCGATTCCTGGAAGTGTTCAAATCAGAATAATAAAGCAGAAGTTTTAAAGCATAAGCCTGGTGATAATCTGTATTTTTGTTTCTGTCAACAAATCCCATGATAAGACGAAACCCAACAAGGTTTCCTACTTACTGTTTGTCGAAAGCCCATTTGTTCCTAATGAAGACGCAAATATATAGTTTCATATTTTAAAAGACTCATTAATGTCCTAAAACAGCTGCTCACTGTAGGTTTTAATCTAAAGTGGGGGAAATAGTGCATTTGTTGGGTGACTATTTTCAGTGGCAGATTAATCCACATGTGGTGCTTTAGGGAGCAGCATGACGATGTAAAGTATGTAGGACTGAGTCAGAATAAACTACAGTGTGGGTTCATGGTGATGAAGGAACATGTCACCTGGTGCAGCACTGAGGCTCACAGATGGGTTTATTTTCTTTCTTTCTTTTTTTTTAGAGGGAGAAGAGATATCAAGCTGTGAGTCACAGTTAATTGTTAGTGGGATCAATTCTCTGTTGGATTTTGTCTTTTCAGGGATGTGTTGACAGTACAAGAAATTTAAAACATCACTTATCCTAATTTAAATTCATTAACAGGAGCGGCTATAACACAACTAAAATGTGTACATTTTTAATTGTACATTTTAAGTACAAAGGCATTGTTTGAATTCAGTGGTTGAGCATATAAGCATGATGAATTTAAATGCATTTGTGCTCCAATTTAAGTAGAAATTTAAAATATATCTTACCATTGTAAAACATCATTCAGTCACTTTCTCTTCTTATAGGTGCTGTTTGTATTATTGCTAGTATTTAAATTATTTTTGTTTATTATGAATTATTTGTCATTATTTTGGGGGCTCCGTCTTAAAAAAGGAGTTTGAAGTTTGGGAGATATAAATGTGTTTTTCTTGCCTAGAGTTAAATGAGACGATGGAGACGACTCTCTTATCTTTATTTCAAATATGAAGCTACAGCTACAAGATGGTTAGCTTAGCATAAATATAGCGAGGCCTGGCTCTGTCCAAACGTAACTAATATCACCTACCAGCACCTTTTAAAGCTCACTAATGATGTTTTAACTCGTGTAAATAACTGAGCAAATAATTTGTCTTTAGGGCTGCCGGTAAGTGGATTTGGAAAAAAAAAAATGGTGGAGCCAGGCTAGCTGTTCCCACCTGTTTTCAGTCTTTATGCTAAGCTAAGCTAATTACCTCCTGACTGAGAGTGGTATCAGATCTTCTTATCTAAGTCTCGGCAAGAAAGTGAATAAGCGACTTTCTGAAAATATTGAACCCTCTGAATTTATTTGTAGCAAGTTTATTTCCAAATTATGCTAAAATAAAAAGAGACCTGGCTGTCGTACCAAATGTTTTCCATCCACTCTGGGTACTCCTCTGTGGCTGTTCAGGTTGCACAGCAGATTTAAATATGTTAAAAGTGTTCAAAAATCATGAAAGGACGACTAGTCCAGTTATTAAAGTTTCCAAAAATATTCAGCATATTATTGAAATTAAGGATTCTTTTAATTCCCTTTTTCAAATTTAATTCAGATATCATTTAAAACGTCTCATCAGTGTTAATACAAAGAGCCCAGTCGTGTGTGTGAGAAAGCAAGTTTCAGGAAATCCACAGTGTAATAAATAAGAGACATTCTGACCTTCCTTCTCAACACCTGCCACCTCCAACAGTAGCATTGTGTCACACGTGTGAAATGTTTTCTTATGAGCCTTTCTTAAACAAATATGTTGCATTAAGGATTATTCCATGCTTTGTGAAGGCCTAACGCAATAATACCAGAGGGGCAAGACTGACCTGCCATTTTAGGACATAATAGATCTTTGCTGTTGTAGCGTTGAATAAATCTTAATGCTGGGGTTTAGGCATCGATGAATAAAGATGTGTTATGCAAGTAACAGGAGTGGGCATCTGATTTGTTCTCATATTAAAATAAAGTTTAAAGGTGTTTTAAATGAAATTTTTTCTTCTCAAGCACTCATTTCATTATATTTGAAAGTAAGGGATCGATAGTGGGCTAAAACATGCTAAATTATTATATATGTTGTGTACAGTAAAAAACAAACACTGAAGCCCAGTTTATTTCAGCCAGTCAGTAGCTCTGAAGTACATAATTAATGCAGTGTTCACACTTATTTGCACTTTTTTTAAACGTCACTTATCTTCAGCTTGCAAAGGCTGCAGCAGATATATAGATTTGTGTCATTTTAGAATAGGTTAGGATCATGTTGATCTTTTCAACTCAATTTGAAAGGGGCACTACACAGAAAGGTGCGTGTAGTTAAGTACCTACTTGTTGCTTGTATTTCCAGTAAACAGCCAGGTGCCCAAGTCCCTGTTAAGACCGCAGGCGTGTGGAATGAGGTAGATTAAAAAATGTGTTCGTTAAAGTTCAATATTGCAATTGTTTGCTTTTGTTAATAGGATATTACTGTTTGCTTATTAATGACATTAATGGACACATGTATTTTAATTTACTTAAAACTGAAGCTTTTAAGTAAAAGCAATATGGTAACCCCGGGTAAACCATTTCATCTGTTGCTGTAGCCGTGAGTTCTGCGAGCGAGGTTGATCCACATCTAGCAATTCAATTTAACAACGTAGATACAGTGAAGAAAATAAGTATTTGAACACCCTGCTATTTTGCAAGTTCTCCCACTTTGAAATTGTCATCGTAGGTGCATGTCACTGTGAGACATAATCTAAAAAAAAAATATCCAGAAATCACAATGTATGATTTTTTAACTATTTATTTGTATGATACAGCTGCAAATAAGTATTTGAACACCTGAGAAAATCAATGTTAATATTTGGTACAGTAGCCTTTGTTTGCAATTACAGACGTCAAACGTTTCCTGTAGTTTTTCACCAGGTTTGCACACACTGCAGGAGGGATTTTGGCCCACTCCTCCACACAGATCTTCTCTAGATCAGTCAGGTTTCTGGGCTGTCGCTGAGAAACACGGAGTTTGAGCTCCCTCCAAAGATTCTCTATTGGGTTTAGGTCTGGAGACTGGCTAGGCCACGCCAGAACCTTGATATGCTTCTTACAGAGCCACTCCTTGGTTATCCTGGCTGTGTGCGTCGGGTCATTGTCATGTTGGAAGACCCAGCCTCCACCCATCTTCAATGCTCTAACTGAGGGAAGGAGGTTGTTCCCCAAAATCTCACAATACATGGCCCCGGTCATCCTCTCCTTAATACAGTGCAGTCGCCCTGTCCCATGTGCAGAAAAACACCCCCAAAGCATGATGCTACCACCCCCATGCTTCACAGTAGGGATGCTGTTCTTGGGATGGTACTCATCATTCTTCTTCCTCCAAACACGGTTAGTGGAATTATGACCAAAAAGTTCTATTTTGGTCTCATCTGACCACATGACTTTCTCCCATGACTCCTCTGGATCATCCAAATGGTCATTGGCAAACTGAAGACGGGCCTTGACATGTGCAGGTTTAAGCAGGGGAACCTTCCGTGCCATGCGTGATTTCAAACCATGACATCTTAGTGTATTATCAACAGTAACCTTGGAAACGGTGGTCCCATCTCTTTTCAGGTCATTGACCAGCTCCTCCCGTGTAGTTCTGGGCTGATTTCTCACCTTTCTTAGGATCATTGAGACCCCACGAGGTGAGATCTTGCATGGAGCCCCAGTCCGAGGGAGATTGACAGTCATGTTTAGCTTCTTCCATTTTCTAATGATTGCTCCAACAGTGGACCTTTTTTCACCAAGCTGCTTGGCAATTTCCCCGTAGCCCTTTCCAGCCTTGTGGAGGTGTACAATTTTGTCTCTAGTGTCTTTGGACAGCTCTTTGGTCTTGGCCATGTTAGTAGTTGGATTCTTACTGATTGTATGGGGTGGACAGGTGTCATTATGCAGCTAACAACCTCAAACAGGTGCATCTAATTTAGGATAATAAATGGAGTGGTGGACATTTTGAAGACTAACAGGTCTTTGAGAGTCAGACTTCTAGCTGATAGACAGGTGTTCAATTACTTATTTGCAGCTGTATCATACAAATAAATAGTTAAAAAATCATACATTGTGATTTCTGGATTTTTTTTTTTTAGATTATGTCTCTCACAGTGGACATGCACCTACGATGACAATTTCAGACCCCTCCATGATTTCTAAGTGGGAGAATAGCAAAATAGCAGGGTGTTCAAATACTTATTTTCCTCACTGTATGCAAGGTTTGTGGTGTCAGTGTTTGATCTCCTGGTGTATCAAGTAGGCTAGAAGGGGGGGAAAAAACAAGCTTCATTAACCTGTGCAAATTCAAATGCAAATGTTTTTTTATTAAAATAATAATTATTTAGTAATTAAAATATAAAATGGTGTCCGCAAAGGGAAAAACTGTTCAGTATGTGCTGTTTTCAATAAAAAGACAACGGCAGTGTTTTGCAATTTAAAGGTGGGGTATGAGACTCTACTCCAATGCACAAGTACTTGGGGGCGCAAATAAACTCACAATTGCATGATTTGTGTGTCAGGTAATGTTAAATGATTTGGGAGGAGAGGAGGGAATATTTTCTGTTTTTGCTCTGAGCTGGATGCGGTTTGCACAAAGTGTGCATGACAGGTGAGGGCATCACGCACATGGAATACTTTGTGATTAAAGATAGTTAGCCATGTAACTTTCTATCCTTTTCAGATGCTCCAAACAGCAACAAAAAGGCGGAAGCAGCACCCAGGGTCGATTTTCAATTTCAAAGTTCAATTTCAGATTCTTAAGCTCAAATTCATCCTCAGCACTGCTCCATTGATTATAGTTTATTTCTGTTTACCATTTTTATAATTGCCTCTATTTTAATATACTTTGTCTGCTATGTAGCAGAAAGGAGTTATAAAGTCAATTTCACTATATAACCTGTTACATTGTGATAAAATAAATCTACCTACCTTCTGAAAGCACAGTGTGAACTTACCTCAACAATAGCTATGTTTCTGAGTATACAGTATTAAACAACTATATTTCTAATACAATAAAAACATGTAATGCAATAAATCCTAAGTAGTTCTATTAAGACAACAGCTTTCATTTTGTGTGTGTACTGTTAATGTAAGATGCTTATTATGAACAGGAGTCTTAGTGGAGTGGTGCACAATGACATAGAAAAACTGTGACTTATATATGCTGAAACTGGGGTATGAAACTCACATTATAAAACATTTTTGTTAATGTTAGAGTGACCTTCTAACAATAAAGCCACAGTATTGGAGCAAGTGAGCTCTCGAAGGTTAATTGGTTACTTAAAAATGAACTGGGGGATGCAAATAAGTATTGCAACCATATTTTAGCTTAACAACCTTTAACCTTAAATGTGCCTAGTAACTATTTTTGGTCTTGAGTCATGACAATAAATTTAATGCTGATGCAAGTGGTTATCTCATGAAAAAAAGCAGAACTTCAATATGTACAGTTTTGACAGAGATGAGCAAGAAATTTCAGTTTTAACATTTTTATTGATTGATTTATTACATATTTAGAATTATGAAATTTAGAAAGCCCAATAGCTGAATTGTTTTGAGGAAAGTGGGAGCAAACCGGAGTTCCCGGAGTAAAACCCATGCCACCACACGAACTCAGAAAGGCTCAGGACCGGGACTCGGATCCCATGTCAGTTAGTGATGTTTTCTCTGTAAGAGCTTACAAGAACTTGGCACAGGAATTTGGCCTTCTTAAGCTTCCTCAAGAAATACGGCTGTTTCTGAGCTTTCTTCACCAGCGTGGAGATGCGAGATGACCATGTCAGGTTCTCTGTTCACCTGCTCCACCTGAGTGTTTGTCCTTATCTCCTTATTCCTGAAATCAACGATCAGCTCCTTAGTTTTGCTGACGTTGAGCAGTAGTTTGTTCTCTGAGCACCACTCTGCAAGATTAGCAGTTTCCTCCCGATTTGAAGTCTCATCGTTATTTGGAATCCGGCCAATGATGGTGGTATCGTCCGCAAACTTCACAACAGAGTTCTCTTCGTGTCGGGGGATGAAGTCGTGGGTGTACAGCGTGAACTCTCCCTAATGCCATTTATCGTATGAAGGTGCAGGATGCCATACAGACCGAGGCATGGACGACATTGAGAGGATCAGAGGAACAGAGCTGGGTGATGTTAGGACTTAAGCACTTTAGCCTTGAGTCTTTTCAGAGGAATGAAGACAAGACAAAGTTTTACACCGGACTCCCGATTTGTTTGAATGCTCATTTTTGGTGGCCTTTTGTCTGTTCTTTTCAAATCTGAACAGGTAGTTTTAGTTTTGCAGAGGGGTTGAGACTAAACCTTCCTCTGAAAGATTTGGCTTTGAGGTTCAACATCTCTTACTCCACTGTGTTTGTAGAGTTTGGCACATGTTAGTTGCCATACTTCACAAGAGAATGGAGTTTTTAATTGAGTGTGTTCAAGCCACAATGCCAACATCATAGACTGTTTTTAGGTATTTATTAAAAGACCTAGTAATTTTCTTGCTAGAGCACAAACATGGTCAAAATTATAAGCACCGCCACACTGAAGTTTCTGATCAGTGTTGCTATCGAAGGGGATGTCTCTTACATATCTCCTGCCCGGGAGGAAGAGTTATTGATGCAGATTACTGAAAAAAATTACATCCTGTTACCTGGAGAATTTGTTCTAGCAGACTATTTGCTGTTTCCTGTCAATAGTCTAAATACATGTAGCAATCAATAAATCCATTTAAATGTACAGAAATGGCATTTTTCATTTTTATTTATGAATAATTTATGTTTGTAATTAATTAATTTAAGTAATTATGTTTTAGTCCTTCATACAGAAGCACCTGCAACAACAAAAAACAAACCCAAACAACTTAAACATTACAGAATTGTTTATTATTGCAGAGACATGTTTGAATGAAAGCCAGCTCATTTAATAAAACGATGATCCATTCATGATATCTTTTAAATATCCATTTTAATCAGAGAAACGCATGAGATGGTGATCGCCACGGACTTAAATAACGAGCTGACAAGCTGGAGTGAGCATTTGGAAATGTTGCCATGTCTGAGATTTCCCTTTAAATGTTTCACTATGTTCACATCTAAACTGTCCAGATCCCTTTGACTTCAAGCGTCTAGAATGTGATGCTTTCTTGCAATAAATATTATTTTGTCTTCAAATATGTAAAAACACGGGTAGCTGCTTACACACTCATTGACACACATTCATTTTAAGCCTCTTGACAGTGTTTTTGTCATTTCAGATTAATTTATCCCCCCTCGCTGGGTGAGTATAAATGAAGATAAAGTGCCGCTACTTTTAAAACACACCACACAGCTTACTCACTGCCTCTCCGGGTTGAGGACATCAGTCAGTGGTTAAAGCGTGAAGGCAAGCTGTAAAAGCAGAAGCTGCAACCACCGATGTAGCCTTTCTTTATAAAACGTAAACCACACTTGAAACCTCTCAGCAGCCTCCTGAGCTCAAACTGAGGAAGATTTTAAATGTTACTTGTGATGCAACGTCATGATTTTTATATTTATATTGTATTCAAATCATACGCTGTTGCTCATAACATAGCTTTGAAACCACGTTTATATTTGAGGCCTTGTATAAATGATGCATAAAAGCACAAGTGTATTTAGCAAGCCTCAATATGCAAGCGCATCTTGCTGTGTCTTTTCTACTTGATGTGAGCTTAAAGGTAGCTATAACTAGATGTTTAGGGTGACAAAAGAGTAAGTTAAAAAAAACCTTTTACTTCCTTTGTGGGAAAACTTGCAGAACATTACAATGAACGTTTTTCTTTTTAAAAATACAATCCAGCTCAGTGGCTCATGTGCGTGCCTTATTTACGGGAATAGAGGATTTTAAAGAACAAGGCTGGTGTTTTTCTATATTTTACTTATTTTCAACAAATCTCATGGAAGGACAAAAATCAACAATGTGTTTCTGAACACTCTCTGACGTCCTGTCTGTGGCTCTCCAGCCTCCAAGCCCTTTGGTTCGTAGTGAAGATTTTAATCCTTTAAAAAATGCTAGTTTCAGCGGAGGATTAATCCACATTTACTGCTCTGAGTATTCAGGGCAGCTGGGCGATAGTGTGAAAATAAACGACAGTGTGTGTGAGCTATGGGATTTGTTGACATGACGAAAAATATGGACTGTCACCAGACTGAACCTTTTAAGGATGCTCTGATCAGGTTTTATTTAGTCTCCTCTAAATACAGGCAGGAAATCAATGTTTCTCTCCTGTTATATTAAAAACACAAATAAATTAATAAGCATCTCACAGGAGTTTAGTACTGACAATGCTGCTTTTGTGAATCTAGTTATACAGTGTCCTGGAGTGCTCAAAGGCTATAAGGCTGTTGAGTTACTTTGTTTTCTTCGATAAACTGCATCTGTTGGCTTTATTACCAAAGAGGACGGTCATAGATTACAACCTGCTTTGGTGCAGCTGGTGATACTGTGATAAATTACTGTTATCGTCAGACTGTAGGATTGAATATGAGAACGATGTGCGATGGGTGTTTTGTGGCTCTGGATGGTGGATATTAGCGGATTTTCCACGCTGCTCTTACGTAGTCATTTGAGTCCATTTCATAACTGTGAGTTAGTTGTGAGAGAAGTGTAGACTGAACATAATGGAAGCCCACTGACAACGGGAAAAGAAAAAAACATGGGTTATGCATGATAAAAAGATATCAAGTCAAAACTATAATGACTAATGGTTATTTTAAAATATCTAAATTAGGAGATATTAGGTCAAAGCTATGATGACATGGTTATTATTAAAACTAAATTAGAAGATAGTGAGTTAAAACTATGATGACTTGCTATTATTAAAAATCTAAATTATGAGATACGCTCTCATAATATTGACTCGGCAAGTCATCAGTTTTGACTTGGTGAGAAACAATTAGTTATTAAGTAAAACTAATTAGACACTAAGTCAAAACTGTGAGTTGACGTACCATGGATTTTTATCATGTCTAACTCTCTGTGTGTGTTTTCTCTTTCTTTCTTTGGCAGAAATGGGCTTCCACACTTGCTGTATGTTGCGTGACGCTTTTAAATTGTGATTCTAAGCATCATTTTATACGGCTGAGCTGCATAGTTTCAATTTGCCAAAATGCTGGTGATGTGATGTACCTGCCAGCCACCCACATGAACAAGGCCAGAAAGTTCAAATACATTATTGGGACACAAAAGTGTCATGTTATTGTTTTATTTGCATGTTTGCCTTTGATTTTATTTATTTTTTATTGTATTTTCTTATTATTCTTCATAATATATACTGTATATAAAACCCTCCTCGGTCATCAAATAGCTGGAATAGACTTTTACAGCACCATTTTGTTTCCCAAGCCTTCCCCTCCGTCGTACTTTTCACCCACTTACGTTTATTCTGGACTTATACCAACATATCGTTAACCACTTGATTTGCATTAACTTTCCGTTTTCCTTCACTGAACTTGAGTTTACCTTCTCATCTACAGATCATCGTGTCTGATTCTGTAAAATCCTTCATGCACCATTTTCTAGTATTTTTAAACTTGTGGCCCTTTTGTAAAAAAAGGTTTTTGGAACATCTTTATCTAAAAGCTGCAGCCTCATTCAAGGTGATCCGCTCACTCTTCCTTCTGTCGGCCTTCTCACCTCAAGCACATGATATTGCGGTTGCAGTGTGAGTCACTAGTGGTGGACTGGCGTGCGATCAACGCTTCACAAGCTGGCCTCGAGTGATGGACATGGGAGTGTTAAGAGTTCTGGGAGTTTTGAGTAACCTCGACATATCCCGTCCAGGTGGGACTACATGTGCTGCAACGCCTCCTGGGCTTGTTCTGTGTACACGTCGTCTTTCCCCGCCCACGAGCCGAAGCCGACGTCAATCTGCGCACCTCTCTGCGAGTTCCGCTGCTTGTCCCGTGAGAAGAAACTAAACCTGAGATGAGAGGAAGGAGGGAAGAGAGAGGCAGTGTCTTGAGTAGATGGCTAGTCATGGATGTGTCGGTGTCATATGACAAATGCAGCATGACAGGGAATATCAGTCATTTGTAAAGCAGTGTTAGTGTCACATTTTGTATGTGTGGCATTAAAACTGAATTATTTATGGGAAGTTAATTGTGATACTTTGGTATAATTACTTCTACATGCTCTTGCTCCTGACATTTAAAAACAAATTACCTAATAATCTTGATGGCTGAAAAAGCTTAGACTGTAAAGCAGCTCTTGGCCTACAGGTATATGTCAGATCTGAGTGGCGTGGTGTGCTGCTGTTGTCTCTGATCTCCACTGTCATTTATCAATTCTTACCAGCATTACACTGATTCTTAGCGACACATGACCCTGCTGATTTTGTCTGCAAGCTATAAACGACTTAACACTCCTATTTAACTGGCAGATGCTCCTTTTCACCGGCATACAGGTTTACCGTGTTACATGTCAACTTTGCCTAGTGGTGTGTTTGATGCTGTTTGACTCATGGCACATGAAAATTCAAAACCACTGACTTTTGTGATTTTCGCTGTTTTCAGTCCAAAAATCAGCCACATTGTTGCTAAAAATATCTCCGGGCGCCACTTGATTATTGCGCAATACTGTGCCTGCCGTCTCTCGCCTTTTTCTGCAGAGCATGAGAAGTGCCGCTTTAAAACACACGGTCTTTTTTGCGGATTTTCCGTTCTCAAGCTACTTTTGGTGACAGGAATGTTGATGAATATTCAATGTTTTTATCAATATTTCAATATTATGTTGGAACATAAATAGTGTTTTAAAGATAAATCCCAATAAAAGTCAACGTTTAAACTAAACTAATTAAAGCCAAAATATGGACATTCGCCTGGTATATTTTGAAAATATCGTACGATAACTGTTGTATTTTAGTTTATTTTCATCAAATTTACAGTTACATTTGCATTCGAGGTGTATTAGAAGATTTTCAGTTGCATTATAATCTATCTTATGATGGTTTTGATGGTTTATTGCATTAAAAATACAGCTTTTTTACCAGCCGAGGATGAAAATATCATATTTTTCTTTATTGCAGACTCCATTTAGTCTGTAATGGTAAAATAAATATGTTCATTTATAAGCTAATATGTTATTCCTGATTCATTTTGGGTATGTTATTTTAGGCGTTTTTCCCTGGAAATAGGGGCAAAAAGTTGTCCGTTTCAAACAGGTTAATATTAGTTTGCCCATTAACACCTGCTATATGCCAGTGGGCATTTGTCTGTATATTTAAAGGCTAAGTTTGGGATTTTTCAACCTGGACCCTAGCTTCCTATATTTTATATGTCTGTGGGACTAATTGGGAAAACATTTTTTGAAATTGGTCCAGTAATGAGCTAACGTGCTGCAGTCGGCAGCAGTGAAGCAGGGCTGCAACATAATCCTTATGGGCAATTGCGACCGGCCAAAGTACATCCACTAAAGCTCAGCCACTAAGGCTCAGATTGTTATTATAAGTGTATGACAACATTATGGATAGGATCCCTACAGAGCCAGGCCATAGAGGCCAAAGAGTAAAATCCTTTTTGTTTAACCAGAAATGTTTAACTCTAGTGTTCTCAAGGAAGCCACCAGACTCCCTCGACAAAAGATCTATTTTGAAGAGATCAAAAAATCTATTTTACCTCGCAGAACACGGGGGTTGCTGGTCTACTGCTGGTTTACATGTGATATTGTGTGAATTTGTTGTTTTAAATGCTTAGAAACACCAAAGTCACACAACTACATAATCAAACTATGTAGGTGTGTGACTTTGGTGAGGCAGCTGTAGACAAAAGTTACGTTTTTGTCAATGGAGTCTGGTGTCCGTGACCACAGCGTTATGGTGACTGTTTCTGGTTAAACAAAAAGGATCTAGTTCTGTCTTTGTAGGGATCCTTTCCATTATGTTGTCAGACACTTGTAATAACAATCTGAGCCCGTCAGCGGCAAAAACAAGCAATTTATTGGACGTACTTCTGACTGGGCGCAGTTACCCTCAATGGTTATATTGCAGTGCCATTTCTACAAGTTGATTATGCCCCCATTCATCATTCTTATTTATTTGTTTACAAAAAATTATACTTTTAGTTTAAAGTGAGTGCGAAATGCTACACAGAGCACCTTTACATTAAGACAAGTGAAGTTAAATTTCAGTCCTTTTTTGTGTTGACATTAAAATATCAATAGATTAAAAAATATAACTATAATATGAATGAATAAAACATGATAATTTGCGTTCACTGTCCATTACAGTGCTTTAATCACTAACTATTGCAAAACGGCTAAAAGCGCTTTAGTTTGTGAATCCCACCGAATTATTTCTGAGTTTAGAGCAGACGTGAACCAGTTGTTATTGTGGTCAGTGAGGGAAAAGACGACAGACTACACATTCATATTCTGACTGGCTGATTTTTTTTTTTTATGATCCACAATCATCCCATTGGACAATGTTAATGAGACAGCCCCACAATCAGCCAATCAGAATACTACAAAGGTAGGAAGAGAAAGGCTGAAAAAGCAACCCCAGCACATGCAAGTGGATAGCTGAGAAAGTGACAGACTTTGAAGCCAACCAAAATATAGAGTCATACAAGCGATACGAGACGTCTGATTGGCTGTAAAGTGGGGTCATCTGGGATCAAACCAGCCGCCACCATCGGCATAATAGCTGTGAAGATCCTGTTACACAGAGGTGAAGACACACAGGCACAAACAACAAGAGGTATATAGAGAGGGGGGACGAACAGGGGGAGACAGGGACCACATCAACCTCTGTTTGACCCAAATATAAAGTTCCTATAGAGAGACCCCCCCCGCCACATGGGACCTTATTTCGGAAAAAACAAGTACGATGAGACGGCGAGAGAGACAGCTTGTGTTTTTATCCTGTTTGAGTTGAGCGCTGAATCACACACAAGATGTTTGTCAATTTAAAATGTCATTTTGTCCATCGAGAAAGTCGCAGTTTGACGTAAAACTGTAAAGTAAAATTTAGTTTTGTGTGAAACCGCTCAATGAACTAAATCTCTCGTCTCAACATGTCGGCGTTGTCATGCTAAGCTAACGTTCACTGTTTGTGGTCTTTGTAATTATGTATTTTCACAGTCTTATACTTTAACAGACAAACTGCAACTTTCTTGACTTTCAAAGTTATATTTTAAAATTGACAAGCATCACGTGTGTCATTCAGGGCAAAATTCAAACGGGATCAAAACATTAGTTGTCTCTTGCCGTTGACTACCGTACATATTTTTTCCCAAATAAGGTCCCATGGTGGTCCACCGGAAGGGGAGGGACCAAAACATGCTTTAGTTTATTTTAGCGTAGAAAAATAAAATGGGTGCAGGCAAATGAAAACACGCTCCTTCATTTGCAACATGGTGTGTTTGTGTGTCATGTGATGTGACCTGACCCATGACCCGAGCATGCTAATCATTAACCATGCACACGGAGTGGTGAGCGTGGTGTCTTCAAATCTTAAATCTCTTTTGTGCAACGCTGACAAGTAAGGTTATTTAGAAACAGAAGAAAGTGTTCGGTGCAGTAATGCAACACAGCATCAGCGCACGCAGACACTGTTTCTTAAGCGTGACCTTCTCAGGAGGTTCTGAAACTCCCCTGCTATCACGTGACTAATCATGTGATTTTTTTTCAAAAGGCCAGAAATACACTTCAATGCTCACTCCCATTTTAAAGCATTACAATACTGCACTATGTTTACATGTGTAAGAAATAAGTGTAAAATTTGTGCGCTATCAAAAAAGTGTCCTAAAAAGTTCAACACAACGTCGTGTCCATGACATGAATATATAAATAACAAACCTTTGACGTTTACTGCCTTTAAATCTGTGAAGATTTGTAGCTTTTCTGTTTTATAACATTAAATATCTTTGGGTTTTGTTTGGACTGATTGTCAGACAAAATCAGTTATTTGAAGATGTGAGCTCTGGAAAATCACTATTATGTGACATTTTATAGACTAAACAAATCGTTAATTTGTAATAACGATCAACATATTAACCGATAATGAAAATAATCATGGTTGCAGCCCTAAAACAATGATTTTATAAATGTCTGAAATCTCAAATACATTGCTTAATATGGAGCGAGTTGTCACGCAGTGTTTTAAAGTGGCCACCTCACCTCGCTTCTGCTTACGTTAGAAGAAATTACTATATTTTTATAATATTACACGTATTAAGCTTTGGGGAAAATGAGTAGTGACACTGCGTCACACAGCGAAGGCCACATATTTAATAGGCGAGGGCTACTGTTTAAACAATTTTCTAGTAACTACATTCATAATAAGACGGGATCTGTGTGATTCAGCTCAGCAGGTGACTCAGTCCCACATTCCTAAGTCTACTTTGCAGCTATTACTCTAATAGTACAATTACTATTAAAATGTTGTTTTGGCCATTTTAACAAGATTACATGTGTTGCTGTAAAGTCTGATTTTTACATGGACAGCACAAACCAGATCAACGTGCTGAAACACAGGAAAGACCAGAATTTGACACATTTTAGTTGTTTGTTTTGTTTTAGGCCAAACAAACACAGGAAGTGGGCGTGTGTACGAGCTGTTTCCAGTTATAATCACTGAAAGTTTTTTTTTTTTGTGGATACAGCTAAAACACAACTATGCTTGTCGTTATATTTTTTATTTTATTTTTAATGTGTTTCTTTTATAGTTAAGGACATTTTGTCAAGCTGCTTTCACCTAGTTAATAACTCAATATGAAGTGATCTTTTCTATCTTGTATATTTGAATATCGTGAAAAAGTTCACTGTGAGCTCCAGAACCAGACGGAGAGAGCAAAGGCTCAGGAAGCCTTTGCAAGTGGTTTTGAGTTAATTAGCTGATTAGACATTTCTGTATTATAAATTCTTTATTCTAAAATTCAAATACCTTTTTGAGATACTATGACAGTCAACCAGCCTGAAATAATAAAACATATCTGGTACTGTACACGTCAATCTCATATTTATTGGATATCTTCCTTGTATGTGTAAAACCACCTTGGCAATAAATCCGATTCTGATTCTGCTGGTGCGGAGACGTTACCTTTCTTATAAAGAACAAGCTTGAGCCAAAATTTAATTTGTATATTTCCTGTAAAGAGTAAAATGTAAATGTTTGAGCATGCAGGGATCTTTTTAATAAGCCTTTGCTCAGCGCATGCAAAGCAATCTGAGTGTTTGTGATCTCAAAGTGAAGGAAGGTGGTCTGTGAGATTTCAATAGGCGAGTGGGTAGATGTATCTGAGTGAGTGAGTGAACACAACGTACAAGCGTTTGATTCCTGACTCTGGCTGGGCAGAAGAACGGGAGCGAGTCCTCAGTTCAGGTGAGGGAGAAGGAGAAGGAGTAACAATCTCATCCTCTGTCTCATCACTGCAAAAACAGATTAATCAACAACTTAAGCTGTAATTATGCTCGATTATAAGAACTGATCTCCTCAGATTGAGATATGTGCCTGTGAGTACCTTTTGTAGTAGGCCAGCTCCTCCTGCAGCAGAAAGACTTTGGCCTTGAGCTCGTTCCTCTCGTGGAGGACATCCCTCAGCTCCTGCAGCGTAAACCGGGGCCGGTTGGGGTCCTTTGGGTCCAGGCCTCCCGACTCCTCCTCGCACAACGCCTCCTGCCGAGACACAAATGCATCACAGAGAGGAAACAAAACCAGAGAAAAGGGAGGAAGGCGGGAAGGAAGTGAGGATACCTTGGTAAAATATTGGAACACAGCAGGCATGTCCTCATCGCACATCGCCTCCTGGTGGCAAACGATGAACTCTAAGTCAGACACCAGGCCTTGTTCCAATACATTTGTTCGCCCTTCCCTCCTCCCTTTAGGCTAAAACAGTTTTGTTTTTTAACTCGGCACAATCGAGGCATTCGCTGTCTGTTAAAACAACACCGGAAAGCCTTAAACAGCACATGCAGCTGACAGAAGTCACTCATGCACTGAGCCAAAACAACAAAACAATCATTTTTATTAACATGTATTTTATACACAAAGACAAAGTCCAACTGAAACTGTTTTTCTCTTAAAAGGGAAGAAAATAAATTCTTTGGGGAATATCAGAAATGCTCCTTTTCCTCCAAGCCGGCTGGAGGGGCGTGTCGGTGTTTGATTGACAAAGTAAACAAATGTGCGCTGTAGCTTAAATGTCATGGGCAGACAGCGTGTTGTTAGTGGTTTTAAAGAGAAAGGACCAAACTGGCATGAAACTGGAGCGAAGTTAAATTTGCAAGTGCATTTATGTGCTGCAGCTGAGCAGCTATGTAGCTGTCTAGCCTGCAAACTGATGTTGGCAGTGCGCTTTTCCCCGGTGAACGTTTGTTTTGTCGCTCATTCAAGAAGCTGAAGTGCAGGACAAGAAGAGTGTTCATGTTTGTTAGATAAGAAGGATACATTAGCAGGAAAGCTAAAGTAGGTTGTTATTCAAAGGTCTGTGGCTCTTATCTGGTGTAGGTCAGTAAGTGCATTTCCACCCACCTGTTTTTATGAGTGGAAAAGGTGGAAATGAGAAAAGGAAGTCTAAATATCACCAGAGGTGGAAATGTTTGTGTATCATAAAAACAAAATGTGATAAAGTGCAATGAAAATAAACTTAGGGAATAAATGAAGACGTTCATTGAAGCATGCGTCACTCAAGCTTCCACCGGAGAGATGAAAACATCCGATCCGTGTGGCGTAAAGAAGAGGCTGTGACCTTCCTCAAATTACACATGAAACAAACTTCTTGGATTGAAACTTTATGATAGGAGACTGATGTTACTGCTTCATGCAACTACGCTTTAAAAAGAAGCAATTTAAATGGCTGTATGGAAACGACTTTTCCATATATGTAGATGGAGAAATGACAAACGGTATTCTGACAAATTCACGAGACCAAAAAATATAAATTTCTCCATTTGGTTTGCGGGGAAATACATGCACTTTCATTTCAGTTGGACTTCAAACAACCGTCTCTACTGTCAGTGTTTCAGGATCAAGGTGGACTTTGTGCTGTTAGAGGCTGAGCAGTCGGAGTGACCTTTATTTAGAAAGGTCAACGGTGCAGTTGTCACCCAGTTCGCTGTGGAGCGACAAATCCTACGGACTCTCGTTAGTTCTTAAACACCCATGCCAAGCCACTTGAGCACTTCCCATGGGTCATACAATGTTAGTATACTAGCATGTTTTTGTTTCTAACGATGTGGTTGTTCCTCCGGGAGGGGAGTGCAGGTTTGGAGTTAAGAGTCGGGACAATCACACCACTCTGGTTTCTAACTTCTGTATTACCCAAAGCAACACTGCCTCGTCCTCAGCCTCCTCCTCCCCATCCTCGTGTCCCTCTGGGCTGAGGGAACCAGGCAGGGGTCGTGGGGAAGGATCAAACCCACCAAACATCAGCTCAGAGGGGTCAGGTCTGTCCGACCAGCCCTGAGCCCCCGCAACCACTGCAGCAGCTTTACCACGCTGGTGGAGTAAAAGACACTTTATTACCCTTTTAAAAAGCAATACTAGTTACTATCTCCTTTTTTCTCAGCTGTATTTTTATTGATTTATACACCTGCAATTTAGATAAAGGTATATGGCTTCATTGGAAAATTACTGATTATGATATTGGCTTGAAAAGTTGCACCTAAAAGTGATCAGACCTCTTTTATAACTGGAACATACAGCTAGTTAGCATTGCAATCAACATGACTTATAAGTATTTCTTCAAGAAATAGTTTTTTGGAAGTTAGTTTACAAGATCATAACCCCTCCTGTGTCTGTGTGACGCTGTAGCCAGGAGACAGTTAGTTTAGCTTAGCATAAAGACTGGAAACAGGGTAAGAAGCTAGCTTGACTCTGTCCTACTCCTAAGGTAAAAAGCTCTTTGTGCTAAGCTAAGCTAAGCGTCCCCTGGCTGTAGCTTCAATTTGAACGGACTGACATGAGTGCAGTATCAATCTAACTCTCAACTCTCTGCAAGAGCTCCTTTTCAAGACCTTTTTTGGCAGTTTAACCTTTGTAGATACGATGCAATGAGAGAAAGCGGATGGCAGTGGACCAGATGTGAACCCACAATGCACTGTGCTTATATTGAGCTAACAGGATGCTTAAAGCTTACACAATGACAGAATCTTTCAAAACAGACGTTTTTCTGGGGTATCTTGCAGAACTTTAGAAATAAAACTCAATATTCAATTTTAAATTCTGACTACAAACTCACATGTAGCTCTTTTATTAGTTTTGTGTGCAGCGTTACCTCTGCAGGTGAGGGGGGTTGAGGTGGAGGCTCCTCAAGGTTCTGGGCCGGCAGGTCACCTTGAAGTCTTTCCCTCAAGCGTGTAACTTCCTGCCGAAGGGCAGTGACTTCCTGTCCCCGCGCCTGAGCACCGGCCTCCAGTTCCACCTTCTGTTCAATCAGTGCTTTCCCCTGCGCCTCCACCACTGAGATTTTATGGCGCAGGTCGTGGTTGATTTTCATGAGACGAGACTGCTGCTGCTGGAGCTGCAGAGACACACAGACGGATATAAACACTGGGGAACATGGGTTAATTATAAAAGCCTCAGAGAACAGGAAATGCAGCGGTCTAAAATATTTGTCATCAAAACTAGCATGACAAAGACTTGCTGAGTCAAAGGCAGAATTAACACAACATGTGCTCCTCTGACTTCATCTAAAGCCGCCTTAGTGACCTATTCATCCTATTAAAAAGGCAATTTATCAAATTCAAGTTACACAGTCAACTCCTTTGCTCAACTTAAAACGATGGTGTCAGAGTATTATGTTTTCTTGCAGTAGTCCCGTTAGTACACAGTGTCCTTGACATAGGTTTGGCTGATAAAACTTGCACAAAGGCCTTCATCAGAAACAGATTTCTGAAAGTTTGTTATCCAACAGGAAAATACATTCCCTATCCCTCCTAAAACTTAAGAGGTGCACTCTAAGTTAAAGACTGATCATTTGTTATTTATGGTAAAAAGACTAAAGTTTTGGTCCCGCTTGAATGTCTGCATTATTTCTAAAATTTAAAATATAAAATTTAGATTGCTTTTTAAGAAGAAAAAGCGGTGTTGCATTTCTCATGAATGAGTCTGAGTGGTAAAGGAGCCGCTCTGTACAGTGATATACTTTAACCATTGGTTTGATTGTGTTGGTTTAACTTTATGTTTATTTTCTGTATGTTTATTTAATTGTTTGAACTGTTTATTAGTTTAATTGTATATTACATGTTCTTATCTATCTTAGTCTTTTTGCTGATTTTGCTGGAGACTGTAAATGCCAATAAAAAATAAATCTTTTTTTTTTTTTTTACATGATTCATTTTGAATCGTCATGGTGTTAATCAATAACGTTAATGTACTGCGACTTAATAGTGCACTTCTGTAACATTGTTGGACTCACAGTTTAAAAACAGAATATCCACATCAATGCAACAGGGTCCAGAGAAATCGGGTTGTTTATTCCACTCATTCTTCTTCCTTGTGCAAACCTGGCGCCTACGTTACCCATAATCCAACATGACCACTGACAGTTTAGTTGGAGATTCAGGTGCAGTATGCTAGTAGCGGCTAAGGTAACCATATTTCTCCCAACCAACACTGACTCAAGTGACATTAGAGGCTTTATACAACTTTTTCACATTTGCAGCGATGCTCCCCAACACCTACAAACACACTCTGTAAAATCAGTGCTACTGTATATCTTCAGTGAATGCTGGAAATACTAATACAGTTCACTGTACGCACCATAGATATATACAGTGGGTACGGAAAGTATTCAGACCCCTTTAAATTTTTCACTCTTTGTTTCATTGCTGCCATTTTCCAAAAATCAAAAAAGTTCATTTTATTTCTCAGTAATGTACACTCAGCACCCCATCTTGACAGAAAAAAACAGAAATGTAGAAATTTTTGCAAATTTATTAAAAAAGAAAAACTGAAATATCATATGGTCATAAGTATTCAGACCCTTTGCCGTGACACTCATATTTAACTCAGGTGCTGTCTATTTCTTCTGATCATCCTTGAGATGATTCTACACCTTCATTTGAGTCCAGCTGTGTTTGATTATACTGATTGGACTTGATTAGGAAAGCCACACACCTGTCTATATAAGACCTTACAGCTCACAGTGCATGTCAGAGCAAATGAGAATCATGAGGTCAAAGGAACTGCCTGAAGAGCTCAGAGACAGAATTGTGGCAAGGCACAGATCTGGCCAAGGTTACAAAAAAATTTCTGCTGCACTTAAGGTTCCTAAGAGCACAGTGGCCTCCATAATCCTCAAATGGAAGACGTTTGGGACGACCAGAACCCTTCCTAGAGCTGGCCGTCCGGCCAAACTGAGCTATCGGGGGAGAAGAGCCTTGGTGAGAGAGGTAAAGAAGAACCCAAAGGTCACTGTGGCTGAGCTCCAGAGATGCAGTCGGGAGATGGGAGAAAGTTGTAGTAAGTCAACCATCACTGCAGCAATCCACCAGTCGGGGCTTTATGGCAGAGTGGCCCGACGGAAGCCTCTCCTCAGTGCAAGACACATGAAAGCCCGCATGGAGTTTGCTAAAAAACACCTGAAGGACTCCAAGATGGTGATAAATAAGATCCTCTGGTCTGATGAGACCAAGATAGAACTTTTTGGCCTTAATTCTAAGCGGTATGTGTGGAGAAAACCAGGCACTGCTCATCACCTGTCCAATACAGTCTCAACAGTGAAGCATGGTGGTGGCAGCATCATGCTGTGGGGGTGTTTTTCAGCTGCAGGGACAGGACGACGGTTGCAATCGAGGGAAAGATGAATGCGGCCAAGTACAGGGATATCCTGGACGAAAACCTTTTCCAGAGTGCTCTGGACCTCAGACTGGGCCGAAGGTTTACCTTCCAACAAGACAATGACCCTAAGCACACCGCTAAAATAACGAAGGAGTGGCTTCACAACAACTCCGTGGCTGTTCTTGAATGGCCCAGCCAGAGCCCTGACTTAAACCCAATTGAGCATCTCTGGAGAGACCTGAAAATGGCTGTCCACCAACGTTTACCATCCAACCTGACAGAACTGGAGAGGATCTGCAAGGAGGAATGGCAGAGGATACCCAAATCCAGATGTGAAAAACTTGTTGCATCTTTCCCAAAACGACTCATGGCTGTATTAGATCAAAAGGGTGCTTCTACTAAATACTGAGCAAAGGGTCTGAATACTTATGACCATGTGATATTTCAGTTTTTCTTTTTTAATAAATTTGCAAAAATTTCTACATTTCTGTTTTTTTCTGTCAAGATGGGGTGCTGAGTGTACATTACTGAGAAATAAAATGAACTTTTTGATTTTTGGAAAATGGCTGCAATGAAACAAAGAGTGAAAAATTTAAAGGGGTCTGAATACTTTCCGTACCCACTGTATATAGAGCATGGACGTATTCTCCATGTCCCAGCAACCAAGTGGATTTTCTCTTAATTATGCATAAATATAATTTAAACAGGAGAGTTACATAAAAATTCACCACCTGCACAGTTTTCATTCACGGGAAAAACGACTATAGAGACAAAAAAAATTGTACCAGGCTGAAAACATGTTAAAATTCAAAAATGCTGAATCTGCTAAAATTTGACTGGACTACATAATGTTGTTGCTCTTCTCTAAAAAAAAAAAACAAACAAACAAAAACTAATTCATTCAGACATCTGTTGTTTTACATGAAGTGGGGCTGCCGCTAAAGATTACACTGATTTCCATTTACTCAATCGACAGTCCACAACCATAAGATATTAAATTTACTGTCAGAAATCTCAAAGAGAAACAGCAAAAAATCTAATTTAAGATGTTCGGCATTTTTGCTGAACTAAACGATAAATCAACAATCAAAATATTCTTCGATTAGTTTTCTGTCGATCAGCTAATCCATTAACCAACTAATCACTGCAGCTCCTACGTGGAGATATAGCTGCACGGCATCTCTGAACATGTCAAAATGAAAAAACGTCTTTGCAGCTGCTGCTGGGAGTTTGTGGCCTTACTGCTTCTATGTCCTCATTTTTCAGTGTGAGCTCACGGTCCTTGGCTCGAATCTCGTCTCTCTGCTTGTCCACCACTTCTTTAAGCTTCTTCATCACCTGCCTCTCTCTCTCCGTCATACCTGGTGACCACAGACAGTGAGCGGAGTGAACGCACACAAACAAGCAGGCAAACTTTTTTTTTTTTTTTTTATCAGAAGTAGTTTGCATTTGTTCGTAATCTGTTTTTATTGGACGAGAAAAGTCGTTGTACAGAGGGAACCCTGATTTGTGTGCAGGCTTGCCTCTCTGTGAGTCTAGCAGGTGTGCTTGCACACTGAGGCCGGTCTGTCCACAGTGTGTACGGGTGACTGTGGCCTCTGTGTGAAACCACGAAAGAGCCTCCGTTGAGACAAGACTGGCTCGCCGTCAAAACGCAGGAAAAGACTTCCTTTGTGTGTTTGTGTTTGTGTGTGTGCGTGACTGTGTGCTTGATGGCGAGAGAGAGGGGGGGGGGGGGAGAAAGTAAGACACAGCGAGCATCACTGAAAGTTTTCTGCATAACCAGAACACAAACAGCAGGTAGAAAGTAGTTTAACTCTTTCTAGTCCCGTTCATTACTTAAAGGAGTAGTTGGACATTTTGGGAAACCGCTCTCGTGTCTGTACAGTAAATATGAAGCTACAGCTATGAGGCGCTTAACTTAGCTTAGCTTAGCATCAAGACGCCGCTGCTTGCCTGAAAAAGTGGCGGATTTTCTTCCCTGCAGACATGGTCATGCTAGCTGTTTCCACCTGTTTCCAGTCTTTATGCTAAGCTATGCTAATCGCCTGCTGGCTCTAGGTTCCTGTTTACAGTAAAGACATGAGAGTTAATCTTGTCATTTAACTTTCAGCAAGAAAGAGAATTAGTATTTTAGGGCTACTTAACAAACAATTATTTTAATCGTTGATTAATCTGCTGATTCTTTTCTCAATTAACCAATAAATTGTTTGGTCAATAATATGTTTTTCCAGAGTGATGACTTTAAGTGTCCTGATTTGTCCAAAACCAAAAGACCTTCAGTTTCAAATTTTTTAAAGCATGCTTCCCTCAGAAAGAACCAATTTTAAGGTCTCCATTCTCCCCCTAATATATTGTTCCAACAAACCTGTAGTAATAATAATAATAATAATGGACAATAAAATTGGACGATTAGAATAATACAAAAATAAAACGGTTTTGTTTTACGGTTTAAATACCCCAAAAATAAATAAGATTAAAACCTTAATAAAAATGGGAATTGTTGGGTCTCTGTTAGTAATATTATAAAAAGTATGTTTTTAGACCTTCTATTTATAGAAATTGCAATGAGAAGACTTTTGTTAAGATTGGCGCTATATATATATATAAACCTAAACTGAATGGAATAATAATAATAAAACATATAAGACATGTTTTTAAAACGGAGTGTTAATCGAAAGATTTTTTTTTAAAAGATGTAATGCAAACGTGTTGTTAAAGTCATTTTGTGATTTTCAGCATTTAAAGGTGATGATGTCTGTCTGTGTGTTGTGAGCACACGTCCTCACCCTCGTGCCTCTGCAGGTCCTCCTCACTCATGGGGTCTTTGATGGACATGTTGGTGAGGAGGCTTTTGTTCTCCTCCTGCAGCTGAGCGATCTGGGAGAGCAGGTCCTGAGCTTCTCCTCTCCACACGTCCTCCACCAGCTCCAGCTCCTGTACTCAGACAGCCAATACATGCTTTAGCATTCTGATACTAATAGTACATACGGTACATTTCAGAGTTGCAATGATTAGCAGATTAATTGATTGACACAATTTGATTGTACATGTAGTTTATTCAAGTTTATACTACTGTCTATAGTTGTACATATACCTGCACATTATATTTTGGTAACTGCTACACGTGTTCATATTGTGTATATTTGCATGTCTACTTCTTACTGTTAATTTATATATTTCCACTAAACGTGTTTATGACTTAAGAACTTAGATGCTAAACTGCATTTCATCGTCTCAATACTCGTCTCACAATCAAATCTAACTCAAGATAAATGTTTCAAACGTAACAATTTTATGTTTTTCTTTGTCATATATGATAGTAAACTGAATATCTTTGGGTTTTGGACTGTTGGTCTGACTAAAGAAGACATTTGAAGACGTCCCCTTGGGCTGTGTGAGAAATATAAACATGTTATGAACAAAACGATTAATCAAAGAAAATAATTGGAATATCAATTAATCATAATTTGCAGCCCTACTACATCTTTCTTTTCTTTGTCTTTTGAATTTTTGTTCTTTATATTTCTTTTACATTGCTTTTTTAGCCAGTGTGCATGCTTCATTTTGATCATGTGACAAATACAACCTCTTACTCTGCCCACACCAGACTTGTGTGTGGAGAGTTCAGCACCGTGTATTTCTACTGACTGATCCCTCTCAGTCACAGCAGAAACCTGCACTCTGTCACGCTCATGAGACGCAGTTAATCAGTGAACGGGTGACTTTGTTCACCGAGGCTCAGTCACCGTCACGAGAAACTTACATATAAACTTTTATAGCACCGAGCAAGTACCAATTTAGATGTACTTCAACTTTACTCCATATTTCCATTCCCATTTCATGCTACTTTCTACTTCTACTCACCACAATTTAGTAGGAAATATTGTACTTTTTACTGCACTACATTTATATAACAGCTTTAGTTACTTTAGATAATGATTTTACATTAATAAAATCACATAAGACAAAGAAGCAGAGCAAATGCTCACATTCAAGAGGCTGGAACCAGCAAAACTGCATAAAAAAAGGACTTAAATTTTTAATTGATTTTGAAAATAGTCATCAATGAATCAACTTATTGCTGCAACTCTATTACTTAAACATCAATGTATAAATATTAACAATCTAATAAATCATTTATGATAATATATCAGTCACAGGGAGAACAAGTACTTTTACTTTTGATTCTTGACTTTTACTTATTTTGAAGGCATGTATTTTGCTTCTAATAAAGAGTACATTGATGTATTGTACTGCTAATTTGAGTACTTCTTCCACCACTGCTTCTCAGAGGCTAAAGTTTTATTTCACTACAATATTTTTACAGCACTTCTACAGCAAAACTTACTGTATTTATTTTGTTGTTTTTAACCTTTTGTGACCTGAATTTAATCTGTGATGTTTTAGTCAACAGTATCCATTTCCAGGCGCATTAGTTTCACGCAGTTCAGATTGTGTAGTCTTGAATCCATACCAAACTTTGACGCCTAGTTGGAAACAATCACACGTGAGACAAATATAACTGAGGAGTAACATTTTCCTGCTGACTCAGGGACACATTTTCACCTCGGCTGTCCTCATCTGTCGCTAAACAAACAGGAACTATCCGACAGGGAGAGTTAAAGCACAGGAGATGCTCGTCTGTTTGTGTTATTGTCTGACTTTGTTGTTTTAAAGGGTTAAAAACACAAAAGTCACACGTAAACACAAACTAACCGATGAAGGCAGCGGTAGACCAGAGAGGTAAAATTACTGTTTTTATCAAAGGAGTCTGGTGGCTTTAACCAGCAGCGACTTAGCGACTGTTTCTGGTTAAACAAAAAGGATCTTTAAAGAAAGGTCTGTCTCTGCAGGGATCCTCTCCATAATGTTGTCAGACACTTATAACAACAATCTGAGCCTGTCAGCGTTTCATTTCCTTTTGATACTTTAGGTACATTTTCCTGATAATACTTAAGTAACATTTTCAATGCAGGACTTTTACTTGTAATGGAGTATTTTTACAGTGGTATTAGTACTTTTACTTAAGTAAAGGATCTAAATCCTTCCTCTGGTTAAATCACATTGACTCTGTGGCCATGTTACACTTGGTCTGATTAGCAGTGATTAAAAGTAACAAAGTATATTTACTCTGTACTTGTACTCAAAGTAAGTACAATTTTGAGGTACTTTATACTTCTAGGGATATACTGAACTTTGTACTTCATTACATTTATTTTAAGAGCTTTAGTTAGTTTATAGATTTGGATTATTATTAATTGGATTAATTAATTAAAAGCATAACAAAAAATAATAATTATGACGCATTTTCATAGATTAAGCTAACGGGCCATATAGAAATTATATAACATTAGCATTACCAGCTGCAACATCAATAGTTTAAAGCCATTAATAAAATGTGTATCATTCTGTACTGGTCCATTTCTGCATAATGAGTACTTTTACTTTTAGTACCTTACATTTGAATGCAAGACTTTTACTTGTAACAGAGTCTTTCAACACTGAGGTATCTCTTAAAGTTCTGAATACAACTTCCACCCCTGCGCCACAGCTGTAATAATCAACAAATATATTATGATGTATTATTATCAGAGGTGAAAGAAGTATTCAAATCCTTTACTTAAGTAAAAGGTGCAATACCAGACTACTGAAAATACTCTATCACATCTTCCACCACTGCTTTTAATACAAATATAATGAAATTATAATGTATTACTATCAGGGTTGAAAGAAGTATTCAAATTCTTTAGTTAAGCAAAAGGTGCAATACCAGACCTAATGAAATACAAGTAAAAGTCCTTTTGAAAACATTCAGTACAAGTAATATTACCATGTACTTAAAGTATCAAAGTACTCATAACACTGTTTGCTTGTTTTCTGACAGCTTGTCAACAATAAATGTGATGTAAATATTGAATCAGGGTGATACTGATCAGGCCTGCCGGACCTTCCTGTGCTTCTTCTCCTTCTCCAGCCGGTCCAGCCGCTCCAGCCGCAGCTTGTCCAGCTCCAGCCGCAGCTCCTCGGTCTCCGGGCTGATGCTGTTGCGGCTCACCATCACCTCCAGGATCTCCAGCACCCGGACCACTTTGGGCATCAGCCGGGACAGCGCCTCGCAGCCGTACTGGTCTATGATCCGCTCGAACTCCTGGCCCACCACCGCGGCGATGTCGTACACGTCCATCACCGTGAGGTCGGCCACATTCTTCTCCAGGGCCGAGCCGGAGTCCTCCATGTCGGGATGTGTCGGGATGTGTCGGCCCTGCCCGGTTTCCTATTATGTTTCCCCGCCGCGGCAAACTTCCTTCCCCTGGTGGAACAATTCTGCTAAGTTAGCTAAACTCTGCCGGTTTATCTTAAAAACATGAACTCAGACACACCGTAAAACACCATAAAACAGCCGAACTACCGCGTATCCATCACCGACGGCTGAGTCCGGGCGGTAAGTTGATTTATTTGGGATAAATATCGCCGTCCTGCCTGTGGGCCACTGGACACCGTTGTCAAGCGCGCCATCTTGAAACGTACAACTTCCGGCTAGACGTTTCAAAATAAAACTAATGTTGATTAATGCGTTGTAACAATTTGAAAATAACAAAGTACATATACTGAAGTTTTTTTTATTTTAACAGGAAGTCTCATTGAGATCAAAAATATCTTTTACAAGAAAGACCTTGCCAAGGTGGCAGCCATACATAAACACAACATTTTAAAATGCTACATACAATCATGAGAAAATCCACAAAAAACAAACCAAAAAAAAACATCTATTCAAACATGATGGCCTCTCAAGAAAAACAACATGTCTCTTTCACCACATTCTTTATGATGCCTATATCAATTGATAAATTGATATCAATTTATCAATTGATATCAATTTATCAATTGATATAGGCGTTCCTAGTTTAAGATCTTTTTGCAAATTATTCCATGCCCAGGGTGCATAGTATGAAAATGCAGTTTTCCCCAGATCTGTCAAAACCCTGGGTACATTAAAAAAAACCACTTGGAGGAGCAGAGCTGGTAACTAGCAGTACTGTATGTATGCACAATTTTGAGGTGCTCGTACTTCACTACATTTCAGATTTTTCATCTTTAGTTACTTTGCCGATTCAGTTTATTAAAGCAAAATATAAATAAACTAATATAATACTAACAACTATTATCCTAAATTCGGATATATTTATATACTTTATCAAAGTAATATAACCTATCACATACATAAATACATTTAATTACTTTTCTACATTTCTAATGAATGTTTTCAACTGTTAACCATTTTCCAAAAACAGCTTGAGAGGCAGTTTATCTGGCAGACTGGTGGCACTGCAAATTTAAACATGAGAACCGATCAGAAGCATCAGAGAAGCATCAAACTTTATTAAACAGTTGTGACTGGAAATGGCAAAGGAAGACATTGTGCACATGAAAAACATGCAAAGCAACAAAATGAATATTATTCAAAATATAGCCTTTTTACAGAAAATATTCAGATGTAACCACCAATGTAATCATGAACATTTTCAAATGTAACAGTAATTTAATTTCACATTTTTAGCAAAGAAGTTGTTTCCTGTTCAGAATTTCACTTTTTTTTTTTTACCAGTAACTGTAACAGATTACAGTACATTTATTTTGTAATTAGATTACGTATCTAAATTACATGTAACTAGTTACTCCCAGACACTGACCATATGTAACACAATGTAGAACCATTTGTTTCTTAAACTTTCTCTATATTAGAACATATAAAAAGCAAAAATTCTATCAAATGGGATCAGTGGCTTATTTTTTCCTTTATGTGAAAACATTTGAGAACCACTGGATTAATAACCAGCAGTATATGAAATAGTTAAAACACCTCCATTTTTACCGACAACAAAGTGATGAACACTGCATCAACATATGTAGATTATTCTGAAATGGGCCACTCTGCTTAATAAGTATTTTTACTAATGAGTACTTTAAGGTCATTTTGCTGCTAATGCATTTATACTTAGGCCTATACATTTCTGAATGAACGACGTATTTGTAACGGAGTAGATCTACACTGTTGTGTTGGTACTTTTAAAAGATCTGAGTACTTTTCCCACCACATAATTTTATTCCTTTTTGAAAGAACTGTGCTGTCCAGGGTCCAGAATCTGTGTGTACACTAAACCACAGTATGGATACAATCATAAATTAATTAATCTTATTGTTTTTATGGATGTTATTGAGAATACAAATGTAGTGGTCGTGTATACTAATTGATTGCACTGATAATGATTACTCATACTGTTTTATGTCTGGAGACAGTATCCAGGCGCGTTGTGTCGTGCTTTTATTTTGAATGCACTGACATTTAATTCCGGTATTGCGGTGTCTTCCCTTCTTCTAACTTGATGCAGCTCCACTTCGGTCCCCACGGGAGTCAACAGTAGCTACTTCCATGGTGGTGAGATTGCAGTTTGTAATGCGCATGACAGAAATAACAGACAGATGAGGTCGCTGTGAGAATAAATAACAGCATGAAGAGACGTTCACGGGTCAGGAGGACTGACACCTCCAAACACTTAACACTGTTCATCCACACTCAGCTCTAAGTGTCATTTACGCTACCACCTTTTAAAAAGGCTGCTTTTGTCCACATCACTTTTTGAAAGCATTTGTTAATAATGTTCTGAAAAATAGCTTTTAACAAGAAACGTTAAATAACAAATGACAAACACTTTGAGATTTGCACAATAAGAAAACATGAAATGCATTGCATATATATCTATATATATATCTATATATATATCTATATATATATATATATATATATCTATATCTATATCTCTATATCTATCTATATCTCTATATCTATCTATATCTCTATATCTATCTATATCTCTATATCTATCTATCTCTATATCTATCTATCTCTATATCTATCTATCTCTATATCTATCTATCTCTATATCTATCTATCTATCTATCTATCTATCTATCTATCTATCTATCTATCTATCTATCTATCTATCTATCTATCTATCTATCTATATATATATATATATATATATAGAAGAAATAAATGTGGATTGTCCAAAAAAGTTATTTCAGATAAAGAAACAAGCTACTAATTACTGCATTATATTCTGTTATATTCAGATATTTTGAATTGTTTTCCTTTATTTAAATAAAGACATGATGAACAGCTGACTTCTGACTCACAGTGTCAGGAACAATTCCTGTATAATAACCTAGTAACTCTAATAATCCACCTGTTTACTGTTTACTACTTATTTATTCATCATTCTGTAACTGTTCATATTGTATACTCTTTATATATCATATCCACCTACCTCACGTACATAACACCTGCACAAAATACTTTATTCCAGCATCCTTTGCACTCCATTGCACTATTGTCTCAGTCTGTGTGCAATGTGGTTGTTTTGTTTTTTTGGTTTATGGTGTGATGTTTACACATACCTGCCAAATAAAGCTCATCCTGATTGTGTTCATTTGTTTGTGTTACGTTTTTTACACTGTGATATTGCTACTTTTACAAAACAATCACTGAAACACACTGATATTTTAGATTTTATGGTATTTAATAAATCAATTCGGTAAACAACAGGAATCAGTACCATAATATAGGCTTCAGTATGATTACAAAATACGTTTGAAAATATTCCATCGACCTTTACTTTGCACATTTAACTGAAATAAAACAAACATTTTTGTGCATCACCTGTGCTGCGTTTAACCTCCTGTAACCTTTTTACAGAGATAAAATTAGATTAAAATCAGTGTTTTTAATACGTTAAAAAGTACATTTATACTTCCAGTAAAATCTCAGTCAAGCATCAAGATTCCCCTGTTCCAGTTTCACCTCGCTTGAACTGTAAAAGAAAAAAACAAATAGACTTTTATATATACACACACATATACATCAGCTACTCAAATTATCCTCTTATTATTATTATTATTATGATAAAAATCCAGCTCTAGTAGATGGGTTTCAGCACGTACCGCGTTCTTCAGCAAGTTTCCAGACTTGGTAAAGATGTTTGATCTCCTTGAGGCTGGTTTGGTGGTCTCGGTGTTGTTCTGCAGGGTCTTCTGGGGCAGAGATGGGGACTGAGGCCCGGAGAGGCTGGATGTGTGTGATGAGGGTTGTGACGGTGAGTAAGACTGAGGATTTAAGTAACTTTGCGTCACGTTTGGTGTGTAGGGCTGAGCTGGGACGTAAGGCAGCGAGGGTGTGAAGGTTGTAGTAGGGGTGTAGGTTTGAGGAGGGGTGTAGGTTGTAGTAGGGGTGTAGGTTTCAGAAGGTGTGTAGGTTGTAGTAGGAGTGTAGGTTTGAGGAGGGGTGTAGGTTGTAGTAGGAGTGTAGGTTTGAGTTGACATGTAGGTCTGCAGAGCGGTGAAGCTCTGTGGAGGGGTATAGGTCTGTGGAGGTGGATGGGATTGGGCCTGCGAGTAGGTGTTTGTTGGTGTGTGAGACAGAGGCAGCGTTCGAGCCGGTGCAAAGGGATTGGTCTGTGAAAGGCTGAGGCTCTGGCGTTGAGTCCAGCAGAGTAGGCGGTGGCGGTGGCGGGAAGCTATCGTCTCCGTTCTCTGCGTCATCGGCGGCGTCCCCGAGCTCGTAGTGCCTCTTCCTCAGCTCCCCCAGACGGACTCGCTCCTGCTCCAGCTGGCTCTCCAGCTGCAGCACCTTCACCTGAGAGATCCAGGGAGCACAACGTCATACAACAACACGCGATCGACAGAAACTAAACAAAACAAGATGATGAATGTTGAGACATGTTGGCCTCACCTGAGCTTCCATTTCCTCTGTCTTCAGCTTGATCAGAGACATGCCAGAGAAGTCCATCACACCTGTAAAGACACCAGAGTTAAAGCTGATCTATAAATGGTAATGTTGCTCGCTCCACCATTTTCTACCAGACGGAAATATCTAAACAACTGAATATGTGAACAGGCATCCGTTTGTTAACATGTTATCCAATTTATGTGATAACATCTCAATGTTGTGTTCACAGCTTGTTTCCGCTGCCTCTAAGTGGCCAAAAAAACGAAACAGATTTAATGATACCGACCTTGATCAGAGATCTTCTGCTGCCCATGTTTGGTGGAGGTGACAACAACAGCAGCCATGTCGTTAACATGCCGTGAGGCCTGCTTCAGCGTGTACAGCTTCTTATTGTTGCGGTCGGCCTTCACCTGAAGTTAATGTAAATCACAGCAGCACTTGTAAGAATTTACAAGAAACATTGGGTAACCAAAAGGTACCCTGTGGAGTTTACACTGTGTATATTCTAAAAAGGACTGGCTATCAAACAAATATCAAATATAACACTTTATTTAACCTAAACTTTAGTGTTACACAGATTTTAAGATTTCTATCCTCCTCAGCACAAAACAATCAAAGCGAATGGAAATTAGTTTGTGGCTCTGAAAATAATTCACAATGACCCCGTCACTCTGGGTCATCTACACAACTCAGTGGGATCTATATCACATAAATAGTTCCAATGACAGCGTATTCAGTCAGTTTT